AGCACTACGAGCAGCTTGAATCTGTAAAATAAAATGGAATTATTACATAAAACGGTTATAATTTAAGTTTAGTATAAGCACGTAAGGAAACTCCCTAGGTTAGGGTAGTGCCACTTAGCACGTATTAATAGTGTCAGGGGGGTCATGTCCTTAATTAGACGATCATCCACAATGACTTGCTGCAAAAAGAGAAATTGCACCTCCGCCGTTTCAATTGATTCCTCTTCGCCTAGATTTCCCGTCAAAGAGTGCTTGAAGCTACCACACTCAAAGCCAACGTGCTAGAATATAAGCAAGACGAACGCTTACAGCCACTCACAGTTTTGTACGCTCGGTCGTCACCTTAGCAGCGGCAAAGTTGCTTGCAGCAACCTGCATCATCATTGTCCTCTCGCTGTTAAAAAAGATTCTTGTGCGACCAATTGTTTCGCCTTGGCAATGCGATGATTACTAGAGTGAAGCAACTTAATATTTGCTTTTATGACGGCGGCGCCGTTGAGTGGCCCTACATACCAACAAAAAAAATATTAATAAAAACCATAAATGATAGTTAATAACTGAGCATTTCCCACTTACCTTCTGCAAAGTGACGGTGTTGATGCAAGATTAGTAGCATCATACAGAAGAACTCTAGGCAATAAAGCGTTCAGGACCGTTATGGGCGGGGCTTTCTTGTAATCTGTAAATATGACTTTTATCACACGATAATGGCTTTCGATAGGCTGTTGTGTGGCAGGAAGCCAGGTATTGTGGAGCTATTCACACTTCCAACGTGGTATCAAATAAACGTTTTGAAGCCACAATGCCAACGCATGCTCGCCGTGCGGTTCCCAGCTCTTACTTACTCGCTTGGACAGTGATCTAAATTGTTTTAGTGACCTGCACTTGTGGAGTAGACGAATGTGAGGCTTAACCACGTCTTTAATGAACCCCTTTCTTTTCTCGAGTCGGATGTGCTTGTTACACTGACGTAGTAGGTGCTCATAACATGTGAGAATCTCGACAGCAGGCCATACCAATTCGAGTGCCGACGCAATTGCGTCCGAGTGATCTATGCTTGCACTGTGGATGCGCACGTCTTCATCAAAAAACGTTTTGTGTACTTCACTAAGGCACCAAGCATCCGTTCATATGCTAATGTGCTCTCAGTGCGCACAAACTTGTAAATCCATGGACGGAAGCGTGCGCTCAACAGAAATGTTACCGCAATCTAGAAGAGTCCAGCCTCCAAAATGGATCCTATAGGTCCCATCCGTAGATAAAACTAGAGTATCACCTTGGTCTCGAACGGCCCGACGAACATTTTTGAAAAATGCCCTCGATGTCACTACCAAACCTATAGAAGGGACCGAGACTCCGTTAATTTCAACGGAATATTCAAATTCATCCAGAACGATCATATTGTTCATTTCAGCAACGTCGTTTTCATCCACGCGAAAAAGCTGGCACCATCCTGGCAAAGTCTGGTACTTGTCCAGCTTTTTATGTGACAAACTTGGTCATTTTTCCAGCCCTCTTCAGCTTTCTTTTTGAGATGAGCTTTACGGCTCTCCATTGTTTTGGTCTCGGGTATCAATGCCACCATACTTGGGTCACGAAGGTACTTAAACATCATCATGTTGCGAACACGACCAGCAGACATCCCAACTTTCAG